CCAGGCCATATTCTCACCTAAATTAATTACTATACTGAAATCAAAGATAAATCAGATTCAGTTTCTTTAAATTCTTAAATACTCAGTCTAATTATCAGACCTTTGGAAGGGCACTTCTCTCTGTATTGATTACTACAGACCTCTGTATACAAAGAAAAATGGTGTCTGTCCTTCATTAATTAAACAAGCAATTACATTGTTCTTGCTATATGCCAAGCACTGATCTAAACATCGCACATACCAAGTCCACTGGGTGAGTACTATGTGGATCCCCCATTTTGCAGTAAGGCAGCTGAGATTTAGAGATTACTGCCCGGGATCCAGTGGAGGATAAGACTGTCATGCAAACCCAGGCAGTCCAGCTCGAGAGGGTGCTCTTTGGTCATTGTGCTGTGTCAGCTCTCACATCGTTTGGGGAGGAAAATCCAAAGCACACATTGTTTTAAAAAGCAAATATGAAATGATTATGTATTTAGGAGCTAAATTATGGAATAAATATGACTTTTTTGTATTCAAGGGCTGTACTGAAGTAGTTATAAAAATCTCCATGGGTGAGTTGAGTACAGAAGTAGGGATAGAATTTATATAACAAGCAAGCACAGTGGAATTTCTCTCATGGTCATTCAAGTAATCAACTTGAGTCATGTCATACTGTAGAAATAAAAATTGCTTTTCCAAGTAATATTATAATCAACTGAATCATAAATATTGTATTTTAATATTTTATAGAGATCAGTAGGAGGAATCCAGTTTATTTAGCCCTTTAAAAGTTAAGAAAAGGAATTTAGACTTTTAACATTAGGAAAGTAAGACTTCAAATAGTAGAAAGGTAGGGCTTTGAACCAGGGGAGTGATGTCATGAGAGAACACTTTGCATAATGTGAATCTGGAATCATATGCTGGAGCCATTAGAAAAGCAGGCAGAGAGTTACAGAATCCTGGAATCCAGGTATTAGGTAGAAAAGGCAGGGGTTAGAGTGATGACATTGAGAATGAAGTAGAATTGAACCCCAAAGAGAAATTCTGGAAGAACAATGGCTGAATTGCTAGCTGACTGAACATGAAGGATAAAGGGAGTTATATTTTAGAAATACACCCCCAAATTTGTTTCTCCCTGCCCTACTCTCTGTCTCTCACACTCTCTTCTTGTCTCTGTCATCTCTCCTTAGAACTCTCCCCTCTCCTCCATTTTATTGGTATTAGGAATTGTGCTGTTAAGGAAAAATGACATTAGCAAATAGTTTAAGAACTTTTATGGTGTCAGTTTTATTGTCTGGGTCAATATGTTTGTTGTCTTTAAATAAATTTGGCCATTTTGTTTCTTACATGTGACTTCTAAGGGCTTTTCTAATTAATAACAAAATTATAGCACAATTTAATTAATATCAGGTTTTTTTTCTTACCCACATTGTTAACTTTAAAGACTCCTCACTAAACTCCAACCAAGCCTTCTTATCCTAGCAGTCAACAAGAAAAGAGAGAGGGCTTTATGATTCTTTAGCGAAAGCAGTATGCTAGAATTTGATTGTAATGAAAGACAAAGAAGGTTGTAAATGAAATTGTACCTATTAGGATACATTTCAGAATCTTTCTCTGAAAGAATTAGTGCTCTGGGGAATGCATCAAATCTTCAGGTCTGTTACACTTGCAAAAAAAAAAATTATATTTCCCAAGTTGCTTACTGAATGGCTTCTTTTAGTACATTATGTGCTATAGCTGGTTTCTTTTCTAATTAAAACAAATATACATAACATATCCTATTGTATTTCTTTCTTTTTAAAATTCTTACTGCATGGAAATATTCCATACTTAGTAACTTGTATTATACCATGCCTAGGATTTATAGCATGGACCATATGACATGTGATATCATTCTTTTTGATTGGACCAGAAGGATCCAGTAGATATTGGATAACTATAGCAAAAGGTGGAGCCAGAAAGACTTCTGTGGCATTAGAAATAGTAGCGTTCTTGAAGTTAAGAGCTAGGTAAATTTGACATCTAGAAAGGTCAGTTTACTATGAAAGAACTATGTATATAGTTGACCAGACTCCAAGAAAGAAAAAAGCCCAAAGACAGCATGGAGACAGGAGTTCTGGCTAGAATCTCAAGTTCTAAAGCAGAGATCTCACTGAAAACACCTCAACTCCAGCTAATTTGGAACTCCAGCTAATATGGAACATGCAGGGCATGAAATTGTATTCTAACAAACTAGAGTAGAACTCAAATCTGGACAGGGTCTGGACAGCCAGTACAGTGGGCACAGCTGGCATGTACTTTGTACTGAATCAGGTTTTCTGGAGCAAGGGATCTTAATAATCTTTCTGCCAGGATGATGGAAAGGCAGTGAAAATATGAAAGTGAAGTACCACAAAGTTGGGAGACCAAGCAGTCCTGGGAAAGCTGGGAAAAGTAAATTATTAGAAGCTATTTAATTCAACTTTAGTTTATTACACACTGAGGCATACACGCAGTGTCCCCCCAAAGTATGTAGTTTGATTTTGTCCTTTAAGTGGTGGGTAATTTTTCTACTTATTTTAATATTTTGAGAGCAGACAGAAATTTAGTTTTGTGAGAGCTTTTAGAGATTCTTTTAAGTATTTAATATTTATCATAAAACTTCATATTGCAAAGTTCTTTTGGTTCTTCCCTCTTCTCAAATCCTTCCTCCTGAGTCTCTTAATAGTGTGTGCTTCAAGATTTAGCTAATATACTCACTTCCATATGATGATGACTAAAATAAATTTTAACAAACATACACCCAAAGATATTTTTTCCCTAAGCCTTTTTTCCTCTTTGACCTATAAATGAATGTTTACTTAGACACTGGACATACAATTATTCTGTATTGGTAAAATTGGAAAAGTTAATTAATTTGAACAAAAATATAAATGAAAAGTACAATCAGAAGATCTAAATGGAATATGTTTAGCTCAAGCAATATGTATTATCTATATCTCACAACTGGATTATAACTGTTTTTTTTAATGCTTTACCTATTTCCAAACCAGCAATATCATAAATGCCTTTCTCCACTTTCCTGTTCTAAATCAGCTGAATCACTAAGTCTACCTGATATGTTCTAAATTGCTTACCATGCTTCTGTTAGGAAATATAAGCATTGTTTGCTAGTCCATGCTTAGCAATTTGTTTCCAACACTGCACTGCAAGTCAGAGACCATCTCTATCTGGTTTAATATCTATTACTAGCATCAACTGCATACTAGCCCCTCAATCATCGTGAATAAATAATCAAATGGATGTAATTTGAATTTCACTGAATACTAGTTTTACATATGCATATTTTTTCTTGATCTTTCAGTTGTATTAAAATGTCTTCTTTCAAATGTTTTAATTGGAAAAGTATTTTTAATTTAAATAGAAGTTATTTAGCTATAAATTAACATTTAAAAATTTTTCTTTTCTACGGGGTTGAATATTAAGAGATTATGACAGAAGACAAATTTTACGGAGGTGTTTATCAGAAATTATTTTAAAGTCACAAACTCCTTGAGAAGGATCTATTTTAGTATGACAGTGTAATTAAAAGAATTATCTGTGGCCAGTATGTATATCAGGAAAACTGTTAGAGTTTGATAATTACCTTTGGGTATTGGTGGTTAGGATCAGAGATGTGATCAGTCCTGGGGAATTTTGCTCCCAGGTAGTCCTTTCATTTTCATTTTTGAGTTAAAAGAAACTATTTGCATTTTTTAAAAAACTTTTGTTTTCTTATGCTAATTGTAATTGTAAACATCTGTGTATTATTTGCCGTATACGTAAAGGTTTTTCCCAAACCAAGGGATTGTTAGGATTAAAAGTTCTTTCTGAAAGCATTCAAGTAATTTGTAAATTTCAGAAACAATGCATGAATGTTTAAAAGTGACATCACCTAATGCCAGGATATTGCTAGAGTTCCTACTCCTGATATGGTGTCTGGCCCCACATCTTTTATGGACATTATATGAGAACCACAACATTCTGCAGGATAGGTGTCATGACTCCCGCTTTACAGGAAAAACAGGAATTGACACCACAGTGACCATGTCATGGCTCTTTGGCTTTAGGTTCCCTTTCTTTCCACTTTTCTTCAGTTCTCAAATTTAGGCATTTGAAAATTTTCTGGATTTCAAGGAGAAAGTTTAGTAGAGATATAATGGTAAATTGGTAGATAAATTTATACAAATAGAAATTGGGGGACTTACCAAAAAGTTTTTTTCTAAAGTAGAAATAGTTGAAATGGTTTCTAAGTGTGGGACATGGACAGTATTGCACATGAAATATAAGTGTTGTGAAATCCTCTACCTTAGCAGCTTTGCCTTTTACCCTTACCTGTTTCATAATGTGCAGGAATTTCTCCAGTGCCTTATTTAAGAATTCCCAGATTCTTGAGTCAAATATTGGAAGAGGTTTCCCTTTTTAGCTGTATATTTGCATTGTTTATGAAGTGCTGTTCAAACAATATAATACAAGTTGATTATGTAACTTTAAATTTCCTAGTAGCCATATTAAAAATATACATAAATATACATATGTATATGAAGAAACAGGTGGTTAATTTTACTAATGCAGTTTATTGAAACTCACATATCCAAAATATTATCATTACAACCTATAATCAATATTAGAAAATTGTGATTTTTTTTACCCTCTTTTGGTACTAAGTCTTCAAATCCAGTTTGCATTTTTTACTTGGAATACATCTCAATTGAGCCTAACCAGTTTAGGGTTCAAGTGTTCATTAAGACACTCACTAAGTGGACAGTATAGATAGGCCTATTTATTATAAATAGATTTAAATAGATCTAGTCACAGGTCTATGACTTGCCAACACTCCCCTGACACATGGTGTTCCCAGAAATTAACCTTATGCATCTTAATGATAGGGAGCAAGTTATTACTTTTTATTATCAAAACTGAAAAGATAGAAATGTTTTATATTCTATTCTAAATAAATAAAAAATGTACCTAACTTACAAAAGTAATGTTGTACTTTACAGAGAGGAAGTCCTTGGAAAGTATCAAAGAGGGAATCTTGAAAATCAAAGAAGAACCATCTAAAATACTGTCTGGAAATAAATTTCAAGACCGTTATTTTGTTTTACGAGATGGCTGTCTCTTTCTTTACAAAGATCTGAAGGTATTTGTATGAGTAGTATTTGACCATGTATATATTTTTGTGTGGTTATTTTTGTATGGGTATATTTTATACCTCTCTCATATACCTCTCTTTACAACCTGTCCTGGAAGTCAAGGCCTATCATAAATAAAAAATGCATAGTAAGCTGATGAGCTCTCTCAGCCTCTGGGAGATGACATTAATACACTCAGCAACACAGTGAACAACTTCATGTGGCCTTTCTGAGCACCTCACATTTTTTAGCGCCAAGATAGGACTTAAGTCCTAAGGAAAACTCTAATATGTGTTTTATAAAGTAGCATACAAATCACCATCTTAGTAAATAAAAGTAAGAGAGAATGTGTTATACCCTAAGGCAAAGTGGCTTGATTTTAGCTAATGGAAACTAATAAAATATGGAATAAAAAGGCAAAACTCAAATGTTAGAATAAATCTGATTAATGTATTTCCTATATGTTTGAGTTAACTGACTTGTAATATATTTATTAATTGAATCTTACTGATGTATCCCTATAAGTTTGAATTCCTTAAAAGCTTCTGTTAAAGAACTGTGGAATGGAGAGGGGAAGTAGAAATGAAAAAGAAGGAGTAGATAATGATACAGTGAATAATGATACATAAGAATAGTGAATTTAGCATCAGAAAAATCTCAAATCTGTTTAGTTGGTTGTGTGAATATGTAGCGTAAACTCTCAGCCTCAATTTCTGCATATATAATGGTGATAGTATGAGTTTTGCATGCCTGATTGCTTTATGCTTAAATAAGAATATATGTAAGTTATTCTTGAACTGTGAAGCATTATATATTATACTTATATATTATTGTTAGATATATTACATATATTATATAGATAGTAATAGTAGCATGTTCATCAAAAGATCCCACTAAGAATATGTATAGGCAAGTCCCAGACTGAGAAAAATATATTCATCATCCATTTATCTGAAAAGGATCCATACATATCCAAAATATAAAGAACTCTAAAGTCAACAATAAAAAGGCAACCCAATAAAAACTGAGGCAAAGTATTGAACAGACAGTGTACAAAGGACAATGTAACAGTCTGATAAACCATTGAGCCAAAAGTGCTCAATATCATTTGTTGTCATGAACACACAAATTAAAACCACAAGATACTATCTTACAACCCAGTAAGCTTGATTTTTAGGTCTGACTAAAAAGCGCCAGAGTGACAACACCTGATGCTGATAAGGATGTTGATTAACTGAAACCCTCACAAATTACCAGTGAAAGGGTAAAATCACACGATCACTGTGTAGAAAAACTGTTTGGCAGTTTTCTAAATTAAGTTATTCATACAGCTACCTCATGACCCAGAAATTCTATTCCTAGGTAATATGGCCACAAAAACAACTGTTCAAGAATATTTCTAAACAGCTTTATTCGTAAAAGCTCAAAGCTGGAGACATTCCAAATGTCCATCAATAGGAGAATGATACATTTATAAAATGGACTACTACTCAGCAATAAAAATGAATGAATGCAACAGTTTGGATGAATCTCAAATCCTTGTTGAGCAAGAGAATCAACACAAAAATGGTACTATATTAGTCTATCCATAAGGAGGCTAAGACATGATAAACCATTTATGGATAGAAGTCAGAAGTTGCTTGCCTAAGGTGTGGCGAAAGGTTGCTGCAGAAGTGAGGAGATAAGTCAGTATGGTCCTTTCTGTGATAATAGAAATAAGTGTTCTCTATCCATTTTTGGGTGGTAGTTACATGGGTGTATACAGTAACATCTGTACTCTCTTGAGATTCAAGCAATACCTACACAATTATTTTAAATGTAGAGTGACAGCAGGATGTAAAGACACTTTTCCAAATTGAATTACAGAATTTACTTGAGTAAACATTGCTCACATACATCAAGCGTGTGGCACTTCCCTGTATTCTGTTGTGGAGATGTACAGAGAAAGACCAGACTGCTGACATCTATTAACATGTGATGAAGAAACAATAGTTAGGCAACTTTCCAAAGCCCTGTGGCTTCATTTTCTTGTGGCCTCTGTCGAGTTCTCCATGTGCTTTGACCACTTTGACTGTATGTCTCTCCAGCAGGGAAACCTCCACATGGGTGTAATTAAATCTTAGTAGCATTCCCACTTTGTGTATCATCTCATGTTAACTTTCTTCAAGGACAGTGCAGTGTCCAGCGGGGAGCTACCTGGACAGTATTGAATTCTGCAGCCCTTATCCCTATTCAAAGAGCTGTATTATACTGTACTTGAACCCCCATCTTGTCTCTCCATCTGACAGTTCCAGCAGGGAGTGTGTCTGGGTATCAAGTGATTGTTAGTATTTATTATCATTTGTTATCATTCTTTAGTTTTTTTCAGTAGAGGAAGAGTTGAGTTTGCAGAAGTAAGGCACATCAGAATTTGGAGTTGCGTGAACTGAACACACCAGTTTAAAATACTTAAGGTTTGTGTTCATGAAAGTAAATTTCATGAACAGCTAGTTATTCTATCTAGAACTGAATCTGGTTGAATTTTGTTTGGTTTTCTTTTATGGGCCACCCACCTTGATCTTCATTAGACTGACTTCCTTAATCTTTGCCCTTCTCTGTACATAATGTGTTGGTTAAGGGTCACTTTTGTAGTTTGAAATCTTCTTAGAGTATTTAAAAACCAACCTGAACTTTGTAGTCCTATTAAGGAACTGACACATTGTGTAGCAACAGAAGTTTGCTAGAAACTAATAGCATTATTAATAATAATAGCAGTACAGTCAAAATAGCAACAAAAAACATTTGGGTGATTACTCTATGAAAAGCGGAGTTGTAAACTTGGATTATCTTTTATCTATGAAATTGGTACTATTATTATTTCTACTTTTTAGATGAAAAAACAGAGCATAGCAAGATACTTTGTAACTTGGCCAAGATGACATAGCCACTAAGTGACAGAGTCAGAATTCACTCCCAGGTGTCTGAGTTCAAAGGCTTTATGCAGGAACTTAACTAAAGAAACAATAATTTAGCATAATTTTAGCTTATTCTTTTTCCTGGCAGAATTTTACTTAAAGAGGATAAGTCTTTTTTCTTTAATTTAAACGGTACCAAATATTTTTGAATATGTCAATCCAGTTTTTTACGGTATTTCCACCCCCCAAGATGATGTAAATTTAAAATCTGCCACCAGGAAGCCTATTGATAGAGAAGTGACTTTTTTTTAGATGAACTGTTTTTGTAAGTGAGATGAGGAATCTCATAGCCCTTAACAGAATATGTTTTATTTTAAGACTTTGTATCTTTTTGAAAGGCTCAACCTGCTTAATCTAAGATAATTCATATAAACTGATAGTGACAACATTAAGATTTGGTGTGAAAGATTGTGTTTTATTTACATTTGAAATTAAGTTCCCCAGCTGTATTAAAGTATAATTGGCAAATAAAAATTGTACATATTTACATTGTACAGCATGACGCTTTGATACACACATACATTGTGAAAGTTACTACAATCAAGCTAGTTAGCATACCATTGCCTCACATAGTTCTTTAAGTTCCTTTTGTGTGTGTGTGTGTGGTGAGAACATTTAAGATCTACTTTCATAGTAAATTTCATGTATATAACACAGTATTAGGTATAGTCACTGTGATGTACATTAGATTTCTACAACTTACTCCTTCTGTGTAACAAACTTTGTACCCTTTCACCAACATCTCCCATTTTCCCTCCTCCCCTTCCCCTGGAAACCACCATTCTATTTCCTATGTCTATGAATTTGACTGTTTTAATTCCAAATGTAAGTGAGATCAAACAGTATTTGCCAGGAAGACAGTGTTCTTTAAAGACCCTGAACATATTTTGTTGTTGACCACAGTGACCTCAGATTGTGACATTATAGTCTGATTATTAAAAGTGTTAGAAAGTTATATTTGTACTTCTGTCAGGATAGATTAATGCAACTGATACTTTAATTTGTACATTAAGGCAAACAGATAATGGTTTTCCTTTAAACACAAACTACTATTATTTTCAATATGTCATTTTAATTGCTGGTTATCTTTTTCATTTGCTGGCCTGTTCCTTTTAGTATTGATGGTTGTGTCATTGGCTGTGTTAACTTTTCAGTGATTTTATAGTAAATAATCAATAGTAAAAATACTCCTAACTTAGTTGAATAAAGATTTGGTTCTGATTTCAACACTTGCTGTTAATATATGTGTTCTGGTATATATTAGAAAATGATTAACTGAGAAGGGAGTAGAAATTACAAATTGGGAAGTATATTTGAAGAGACTGTGTTAATTAGAGGTAATTTATGAATACTCATTAACAACAAATTACAGTAATACACAGGAGAAGATAGGTTTTGTTTTGTAAGTTTTCCCTGCACAGAAAATGTTAATTAAAATGTTTTGAGACTTGATTTACATAAAAGGTGAGAAGTTTCAAAGAATATTACCATTATACTGTTAATGATATGAAAAAAGTAAATGGGTAAGGGGGCTATTAAAAGTTGCATGCACTAATAAGCAAATTCCTTTTAGCCACAAGAATAAGTTTTTAAGCACACTAATGTAATTGACTTAGTTAAAAATTTCATTTTGAAATATAGTGCCTGAAGCAACAATTACAGATTCATAACACTCCAGTATATTGAACTCTTTGAAGAAATTCTCCAGAATATGCACATACCAAAAGAGAGAGTTATATAAAGTTCTCTTGCCAAATGAGATTTCTTTTTTTAGAACTTCCATTAGGTTCCATGTAGTTTCTCTTTATGCATATTCAGTTTAAAGATTGAAACTGAACAAGCTTTCCACCATTAATGATCTCCTCTCAGATTGTTATTTGTGTTCATTTTAGACAGGATCTCAATCTATTACCAAAACTACTACAAAATGTAGACAGTCCTGGACTTGGCAATGGCCCGTATAAATGTGGACTGCCTAGTTCAAGCACAGTGCTTCTCATTCTCAAATATGCAAGTCCCATCTTGCCTTAACTGCTAGAATTGTTGCCTGTCACCCTACCCTTCTGCCTTAGGACCGTGTCTAAGACAACAGCGTCTATGATGAGAGACATTAACCTCAGCTGTAATCAATCTGACTTCACCTCTGACAAAGGTGGCCAGGAGGCTCCTCTACTGTGTACAGTGAAGTTCTCTCCTTGCCTCTCTGTGGGCTCTTTACTGCCTCACAAGCTACCTCACTATTCCATATTAGAAACTTCATATTCCTTAAGATTCAATAAAGTTGCAAGCTAAAAAAATCAATACCCCAAAAAATCAGTCCTCAGTTGAGTAAGAAGACACCACATATAAATTATCAGAAAATGACCTGAACAAGAAATAGAGGAAAACTATAGAGCTTTATTAATGATGGAAATAAAACTCAGGAAACGTCCACTGATAATTGATTTATAAGATTTAATGTAATTATTTTCAAAGCCACACAGGGAATCATTTTTAGAGCTAGCAAGCATGGTTTGATAGTTTACCTCAAATGGTAAATAGTTAAGAGTTTGGAAGCATAAAAAGTAAAATATTTGTGAAGTATTTCCTATCCTACTGTTAAAGTATATGATAAAACCAAAATAGCTTTGATGATATGATCCTAGTGTAAAAATGAACAGGGATAACAATGGAAACAAAATCATCTAAACTTAATTACATATTGTATTTTATTTTTGATAAATATGCCATCATAAATGAAAGTTCAAAGAAAGTTTGGTTTAATACAGAAAGAGCTGGGATAATTGTTAAAAATTCTTCAATATAAATTCTCATATATATGTAAAATGCATATTACCAATTGACAAAAGAACTAAAACTTTAAAAATAATAACCTTTTAAGCTACATGGCCATGCAACCTGAGTAAACAGTGAACAATATTAAGACAAAGAGCAATTTGTGTAGAATATTTCACTTAAAAAGACAAAACAATTTTGTATTTTGTATATAAAGAACTAACACAAACAAGTAATAACATGCATAGATCATTGACATACATGGATAAATTATCAAATCAAAACTAAAAATTTCTAGCAAATGCATGAATGGATAGATGTCTTCTGCGTCTTTTGAGATGATCACATGATTTTTATCCATCCTTTCATTAATGTGGTATATTTGCAGGAGTTGAACTAACTTTGCATCCCTGGAATGAATAAATCCCACTTATTCATGGTGAATAATCCTTTTAGTGGATTTGTGAATTTGGTTGCTAGTATTTTGTTCAGGATTTTTGTATCTTTGATCATGAGGAATCTTAATATTGATCTATTAATTTAAGTATAAGGGTAATAGTGAACTCATAGATTGAATTTGGAAGCATTCCTTTCTCTTTGCTTTTTGGAGCAGTTTGAGAATGATAGGCATTAACTCCCTTTTAAATGTTTGCTCTTAATTCACCTTGAAGTCATCCTGTTCCGGACTTTTGTTTCTTGGGAGTTTTATGATTACTGATTCAATTAGTAGTCAGTCTGTTCATATTTTCTATTCCTTCAATATCCCTGTCTTGGGACATTGTTTCTAGGAATTTATCTATTTCTTCTAACTTGTCTAATTTGTTGACATAAAATTTTTCATAGTAATCTCTTATAATCCTTTGTATTTCTGTGGTGTTGATTGTTCTGCAATTTCTCTCTCATTTCTCATTATATTTATGTGAATTCACTCTCCTTTTTCTGGATGCCTCTGGCTATGGTTTTATCATACATCATAGTATAGTGTGCATATATGATACACCATACACAAAACTAAACTTGAAATGTATTAGAGACCTAAATGTAAGACCTGAAACTATATATTGCTATTTCTATGAAGCAATGTGCTCTAAATTTATAACAACATAATTTCCTGCACACTTACTATATGCAAATTACTGGACTAAACACTTTATAGGCAGTTTTCTCATTTAATCTGTACAACAGTCATTTAACACTTTTTCTCATTCAACCTTCATCATAATCCATGAGATAGTCAATATTCTTACTTTCCTTAATGCAAACAATAAGAGCAGAGAGATGTGAGGTCACAAACTAGTAAATAGCAATCTAAATTTGCACCCATGTCTTTGACTCAAGCGACTTGCTCTTAGTTATAAATGTTATATCCCTACTAGTTCAAAATGAGGTTTACTTGAGAATTTTTAAGACATAGGGGAAAGCTTCTGTTAAAAATTACTTCCATTGCTATTATCCTTATAAAATCTATTTCAGGGTATCCAAGGATACATAATAAAATGGATGTGGGTTGATGTTTTTAAATTGAAGTATAATGATTCAGGTTTTGCCTCTGTAAGACAACTGTCCTGATGGTCTATATTCAATTATTATTTTTTTAATATTATAAATAAATATGTTGGGATATGTTTGGAGAATATATAATAGATCTAGAGCAAATATAAATTCTTTTTTATAGTCTACTTCATGAATTATTGGAAATTTTCATGAAATTGATATTTGAGATCGTTCAGTATGCACCTATATAGGTTCACAGGCTGTTTTCCATTAGTCTGAAGTTCAAAAGCAAGGAAAATCATAATTCACTTGTTGGCAATACCTGACTCAAACCAACATAAACATATTTGTCGTAGAGCAGACTGTTATAACAAAGTTCCATAGACTGGGTGGCTACTAAAAGAAATTTATTTCTCACAGTTCTGGAGGCTAGGAAGCTGAGGTCAGGGTGCCAGCATGTTTGGATTCTAGGGACGGCCCTCTTCCAGGTTGTCGGCTGCTGACTTCTGGTATCCTCACATAGTGCTAAGATAGCAGGGTAGCTCTCTTTTTATAAAGCCACTAATCCCTTTCATGAGTGCTCCAGTCTCATGACCTAACCACATCCCAAAAGGCCACACCTCCAAATACCATCACATTTGAGCTTAGATTTCAGTATTAGAATTTGGGGGAATACGAACATTCAGTCTACAGCAATATTTATAGCTTCTATTTACCTCACACTGTATGAAATGTCATGCATTTCAATATGGAAATATGAATATATATAAACACAAATTTTGCCCCAGACACTATTGGTGAAGTTAGCTATATTGTATTTCTGCTGTGTTCTTAAAATATGAAGAAATTGAAAAATGATCAGTTCTGATATACATCTGTCTCTGGTGTTCTGAATAAAAAATTGTGTATGTGTAAGTTTGTATATACATATACATACATATATAAATATAAGTATATCCAAAATTTTCTATTTATATTTATAATATTGTAATTGAAATAATCTTCATTTACTAAAAACTTGGTATTACATTAATAAAACATTGGAGAACTAAACAATTGTAAACCCACTCATTAACACTCAAGGAAAATGTAATGATATTTATAAAATCTGTTTAGTTACAAATTTTATTTTTCTTACAGAGTAGTAAACATGACAAAATGTTTCCTCTCAGTTCAGTGAAGTTTTATCTTGGAGTAGTTACAAATTTTATTTTTCTTACAGAGTAGTAAACATGACAAAATGTTTCCTCTCAGTTCAGTGAAGTTTTATCTTGGAGTGAAAAAGAAAATGAAGCCTCCAACAAGGTAAAGCTTGAAAGGGAAGGGTTGTTGAAAATCTTAAAGGAGTATTTGTCTATTCAAGGATTTAGGGCTCAGAGGCATAGCCTACTTACTGTAAATGAAGCTTTAAACAAATACTTTAAGTTGCCACAGATGCAGGTCAGAGAAACTCTTGCAGATCAAGGGAACTTGTGTGGGTAGATAAGGAGGAATGATGGTCGCACTAGTCACCCTCCTCAGTGATCATACCTCCCCTCTGTAAAGCAAATCCCAGGAGGCTCTGTCTACTCGGAGTCACATGGGTTTCTCCATATCCCATTCCTTCATCCATCACAACCTGGAGACTGTTCCAGGCAATGTCACAGGCAAATTGACAGGCAGGAAAACAAATGCTGTCATCCAGCCTCCTGCTGCCTGGCTGTGTAATCTGCCCTTTTTGCTTCACCAACTTTGGTAGTAAACCCACAGCATATAAATGGTAGCAAGGAAGTGGACCCTACTTACACACAGTGCTCCTTTTTAACATTTGAACTATCCCAGTGTTCAGTTTATGCCACACTTTTATCACAAATTACTTTGATGAGCTAATTAATGTTGGCACTAAAACTTTTCTTGGTGTCATGAAACATCATTTTAATGTACTTTTTATGCTTATTCAAGATTCTAGTACTGAAAATTTTCTCTCTTTTGTATCCATGCTTAATTTCTAAGCTCAGCACATACATCTGTGCTGCAACTTGGCACATTCTTTAATTTCCTACAGTATCAGCAGGAAAGCATGTGTATTATCTGATTTTGGCCATTTTCCTAAAATTCTGTTCTTATTCAGCCAATAGTATCTTCCGAGAGATGGTCCCTGCTGTCCCATAACATCACAGGACTCCCTCCCTCTGTCTCCCTTTGGGGTAAATTTTTGTAGCCAAATTCCTCAGAGTTTATCGTTCACATCTAGATAAGTCATACTCATTTGAATCATCACTTGTGGTCTTTTATCTATTATGCATTCCCACCATTAAATAACACCTCCTTAGTTAATCTTGTCTTTAGTCTTGTGAAATTTTCATTTCTAATATGTGTGTGTTTTTTCCCTTGTGATGCAGTTGGGGACTGACAGCATATTCTGAAAAACATCACTGGTAAGTTAACAGCTGGCCGTTTCAGATTTCATATATTGATAAGTAAATGAACTAATGTTCATTGGCTGATAGACCTAAAGACAGGAAATGTTTCACCTAATCTAAATCTTTTCTAAATACTATTTAGTATTTAATATTTAGTCTAACAAGAGGAAAATGGATTTACTTCAGGATTTAGATCCAGTGTAGGGAAGGTCCCCTCCCCCTACCACTTCCCCTACTGGTCTATGAGGACAGCTGTCTGCTGCTTCACCCCAAGTATGTCTGGCCTTGAGAAACCTGAAAACACAGTGTGTTGTACCCATGGGAAAGGAGCTAGTTAAGGGCCTTGAAGGCCAGGCACCTGGCCCTGAAGGCCACAGGCATGGGTGTCTTCAATATTTATGTAACCATGAATTAGCACTGTAGCAGTATAATACATACAGCTTTATGTGGAATAAAGTGGCCTCTTTTGAGCACCCTCCATGATGATTCCCACCACCCTCTTTACTCTTCGTGTTGCCCCAAAACCTCAATGGCAACCCCCGGGCCCCGACAGTCAGTTCCATATATCCTATTTGCCAATGCCTCCTCAGAAAACCACATCTTATTTCTTCCTAGTTTTATGAATGTGGAATCCCACCTTTTATGGACTAAGCATGCAAAATCCCGTTTTAAAAGAACTAGCCAGAATTCAGTTTTGTTAACCAAAAAATAAGCTGTCAGTTATTTTTCCAGCAAAAGAAGGCTTATTTGAAATAGGAGAGAATTATAATTTGGGACAAGTGAGCTATGATAAAACCACAGACATTTCCAGAAAAAAAGGAGAGGAATGCTCTTTTATAGAAGAAAGAGGGAATTGGAGACTTTTCTAAGCAAAAAGTCCATTGAAAGAAACTGGGAGTCCCGTGTGTTATGGCTTCTCATTGGCTGAGTTGCAACACTCTCTCATTGGCTGGGCTATTGCTGAGAGAGGCAGAAACTCTTCCCTCCTCCTCCTGAATGGTAGAATAGCTGAAATAGTATGAGTTGTAAGCTGTCCATCTCTTCTTCCTGTGGGGTCTGCAATTGAAAACGAGTTGGTGAGTCTGAGAGCTTCTCCTCATGCCTCCCAGCTCCCTGTCAGTGAGGTGCCCCTTATTAATTTTCATAGTTCAAAAAAAGAAATCTTGGTTTCAAACCTGTTCTTTCCATACATGTGCTTTTTTCCATTGATGTCACTTGTATCTAGTACGTCTCCTTAGAGATTATGCCAGATGTCTCCTGCCTCACCTATCCATGTTTAGTTAATCACTAAGACATACTGGATCAGCCTCTTAATTTACTCTGACCCATTCATACCCCTGTATCCTAAGGGCCATGCCCTCTTTCAACTACCTGAATTATTCCAGGCATCTCAAGGGTTCTTTATGCCTCTGACTTTGCTTTTGTTTCTAAAATGTCTCGTGTTTCTTTCCTGCTTCAGTACCTATACCTACAGGATAAAGTATGGGGTTGTGGGCACAGCTTCAAGGTCCTTAATATAGGGCTCCATCAGATTTATCTCCAGTGATGTTCCCTTTTTTTTGCTTAATCCGTGATTAACTCTCCATCCTTTCTTTGCTGTTTCACATACGCTTGTTTAATATATGTGATCCCTTTACTGAGCCTTCTTCCATGCTGTCTGATCTCCATCCCACATATGGTTCTATTCTCTCCCTGCTGATCTATGATGGTAGACTCAGCCATAATTCTTTATACTGTAGTTCAAATGCCCCCAAATTCTTATCCAATAACTCTTACCTCTAACCATTACATATTTATTTCTTCTTTGCACCTACAGTATTTTATATACATGAGTGCAAAATGAAATTATTTGTAAGGAGAAAAGTTTCCTTGGACATGGTAATGAAAAGACACAATATCTTTATGAGAATCTAATGAAGGAAGAAGGAATTTTTTAGAGATTTCATTTTAACTTTTTCCAAATAAATTATGTTGAATAATGCAAGATTTAAAAATAGAATTACATTGAAATATCCCTCATGTCACTTTAACATCAGTAACAAAATTTTCCTTTTATCAGAAATAGTCTCCACCTCATCTCCAAGTGTGATCTTTCTATGTTTGTGTTCAACTTTACTTTCTCTTTTTCTCACTGTGCTATGATTTACGTTTACATGCCTGGCTTCTCTAACAGACTATGTGAACCTTGAGGGCCAGATCTCTGTTTTATGTAAGTTTTCAATACAAGGTTACTGATTCAGTGTTACTGGACATGTGGCAGTTTTTCATTTAGTTCATTTTTAATGAGTTTTGTGAGTATTGTTTATAATCATAATGATGGAAAATGTCTAAGCCTTTTTTAAAAATAGCTCTTGAGAAAATGTGTACATATTTTTATTTTTAGGTTCAGTATTTCTGGAGAAAAAGATGTTTACCATCATGTACCTGAAAGAGCAAATGACACTGACCTTTCTGCTTCTCAAGTGCTGATCATTTTTTAGCAGTTACCAAAGCTTTTAACTGTATTTTGATTTACACCATTATTTTGATATCATATATTTAACAGAAGCTTGAAGCCACTTGTACTGAAATACTCCCATCTTAATTGCATTAAGTCATGAAACAGGCGAATCCCAAAAAAAGTTCTTGATCACTTAATTACCAAACAGATACGCTAGGGAATAGCCCTTTGTCTATTTTAAATTATGTATTTTATTAACCTTGTTTTACAGGCACCTGTGCTGTGATAGTTTCCAAACTCAGACAGAGTGGATGGCCAGTATCTTTATTGCCCAGGTATAGCCTCTGTTTCACTCTCCAGTAAAGTATAGTAACTGCTTATAGAAAATGTTGGTGGTTTTCAAGGAATTTTTAATGAGTTTTATGCATATACTTTTATTTTTTCATTCATTTTTTAAAAAATATATGAGCAATCCAAATTTATACATTTCTTTAACTCTTTGTTGATGCTTCTTTCTTCCAGCTCAGGAACAGCTTAGCTCAGGAGAGGTGTATTGCTTCAAGACAGTAGTATAAAGAGAGAGAGGTTTGTCTAAGCTGTCATCCTACCAGAGTCCCAACCTGATCTTTATTTAGAAAAGTATGCTATTTTCCTTCTTGGTCTCCTATGGCCCCCTACTCTCCTTGTTCCTGCCTTTCCAGGATCCTACATTCCTTTAATACTATGTGCTAGATACTTGAAAAGAGTTAACTCATGTATTCCTTGCAACAAACCATGCATGACAAAGCTTATAGATGAGGGAATATAGGTGAACAAAGGTTCCATCATTTGCTTACGACCATACATTTAGTTAGTGGTCTACACCAAGGGGTGCCAGGAGCTAATACCGACACTCTGTTCCCTATTTAGTGTCCTCCCTAGAGGAAGTGTCTTTCAGGGAAGAGTTAAACGTCTCATTAACAGGATTGGTTTTCTTCCCCAACCTTGTCTTGTTGAATTGCCAGCAATGCTTCCCACAAGAGCATCGGAATTCACTGGTAACGATTAAGTTGCCACTCTTTATTACTGAGGATGTACTTCCCCGTTTCTCTTACAAGTGAGAAATTAATTCACCCCAAATCTGGCCCTTATTTGTTTTGAAAACCATTTTCTCTGCTCATTTAACTCATTAACCTTTCCAGTGGTTAATAAGCACTGCTTTTCTCCATCCATTGCTCTTGTTACTCCTGGGAATACATTTGCAGAAAAAGACTGCCAACTTTTAAGTTACTTTTTCTTCTTTTTTGTGACTTTTGAAAAATTCAAATGTTTAAGTCCTACTTTAAAAAAAATAGATATAAAGTATTTTAGTAAGATTGGAACCTTAGAGTCAAAGACCATTACAGTATCCATTTTTGATACAACTAAATTGATGTGTTTCTTTTATAATTGAAGTCAGTAGACTCTGTGGTTGAAAAATCAAGATATAAGCCAGAAAGGAGAGGTTGCTATCTCAGCCAACTTATTTCTCCATGCCTCACTTTTTCGTTGTCCTGGCCCCAGAAGATCTGGCCAATTACCTTCCCTCTGTTAATTCCACTTCTTAGGACTAAGGTAAACACACAGGTCCTCTTGGATTTAAGGATTTAATGGCTCACCTCCATAAGAAGACAGACAGGAAAACAGCAGATGTTATATACATATATGTTAACACACACACACCAGTAAGTGCTCCTTCAAATGAGTTCTTTCTGGTCCCTGGAACACTTTTCTAATATCCATCCCCCTCTTTACTCCTGCTTCAAAAGTCCTGTAGATTTCAGCTTACATGTCACATTCTCAGAGAAACTCTCCCTGACCTTCAGACCAATTAGATCTTCAGGCTATAGGAACCTGTAGCTCAACATTGTAGCACTAACTAAAAGGTGTTTCTGTTATTCGATTTTTCATGTCTGTCTCTCCTACTAAAATGTAAACAGTATGAGAGGAAGGACTGTGTCAGCCTTATCAGACCTGTATATTCATCTGTACCATTTATGGAGTACATACTCGGTTAGTACTTCTGAAATAGGAAAGGAGAAAGGATATAAATAAGTGATAACATTTCAAATAGATACTGTTGTGGCAAAATAAAATTATAAATAAGGGAAAAGAGAGGGAGAGTATGACTGAGGTAAGGAAGGGCACACATTGAGCAGGGTTCTCAGGAAATGCCTTTCGAGTAACTGACAGGTGTGCCAAGACCTGCCTGAAATGAGGGAGCAAGTCTTGCAAACATGTGCAAGTGGGGAGAGTGCTCCAGTGACAGTGCCCAGCAAATACAAGGTCCTGAGACATGGTCAGTATCTTGTTATTCCATGAACATCATGAAGACTGCTGTGAGGAGGGAAGTAAGAGGTGAGGAAGGTAGGGGACAGATCATATGATCTGCTTTATATTAAACGAAAACAATAATAATTTGGGTTACTTTGTTGAGGGCACTGTCAGGGGTCAAAGATGGAAGCAGGAAGAGCAGCTTACGTAGAAGAAAATGGCAGCTCAGACTGAGGAGGTAGCAGGGGATATGGTAGGACATACTAAGACTGAGGAATAGCTGAGGTGGAGCCGGCAGGGCTCGCAATTGATTGGCTACAGCAGTTTGAGAGAACGAGTCCTAGTGTTTCAGCTTTGGGCGCCTGACAGACCTAAGTGAAGTTACTGAGACATGTGGAAGAAAATTGAGAGTTCTGTTTTGGCCATGTGATATTTGAGATGCCTATTAGACACACAAGGAAAATGCAAGTAGTGAGTGGGATGTGTGGGTCAAAGCCTCAGGCAAAAAAAATTGAGGCTGAAATGTAAATTGGGATGTCAGCATTTATTTTTACTGAAAGCCACAGTTTGGGGTGAGGTGAGTGAAAGAGCCAGAGAGAGAATGAGAACATAAAATGAACTGAGAAGAGAGAAAGACAGACAGACAAGCCCTGGGACATTCCAAACTTTTAGGGTCAATCGGAAAAGACAGCAAGACAAACAAGAAGGGCTGAGGAAGGAGGAGAAACAGGTGATGGGTATTCTGTCAGGGAATTTGCTATGCAGGTGAATGAGGCTGCAACTAAATTGAAACGAGGTCAAGGTCAGTTTTGAGGTTTTGATTTAATTGTCTTTATGATGAAAGGGAGAGTGTATACTTTGCACCTATGCTGATGGAGATAATCCAGTAATTGGAAGAAAAACTTGATAAATTAGGAGGGAGATTATGAAACCAGCAGAGACTCTAGAAGACATGAAGCAATGTGAACAAGGGCACATTTGTTCATTTCTGAAAAAAAAGCCTTTGTTTTCAAGTTATTGACCGTATATGCTGGCCCACTGATCAATTATAGACAAGACTAGAGAAAAGTTACTTGTAACCAGAATAAATACTAACTGAAAGAGAAGGGAGCCCTGCTTATGTGGCTACAAATGCAGGGAGATTGGTATGTTTCGTGGTGGGAAAATCAAATTCTTAAAGGATTACTAATAATTTTTTAGTTTGATCAGTGTGCTTGTGACTCGGGGAGCCATGTTGAAAGAGTAAAGGAGCAGAGTAAAGGTGAAAATCTTCAGCCGATTGCCCTCACTTGAAGTAGAACTTCAAGGTAATGCTTTGTGCTTTTGGGAAATGCAGGGTTAAATTTAAAAGGAGATGCATATATGAAAGGGTTATCTTTTCTTTTTCCTTCATCAGTTGGTCGGCCCCCATAAAGTAAGTAGATAGATGCGCTTCAACTAGTTTTGGGTTTTTACCAGGCAAGTGTGATGGAAAGAGAAAGAGCACAGGACTTCAAGGACATTTATAAGGAGGTTGAGTATACTGACAGACAATGAATGTGCAGGAAGTGGGGGAAAATGTACAAATTAAAATGGTGGGGGAGAGTGGATTGGAGGGCCTCAAGAATACTTACAGTGAATGAAATTCAATTGTTAGAGAAGAGGCCAAGGTCAGGAAATAAGACAGACCTATTGCAGCATTATTCACAATAGCCGAGGTATGGAAAGTACCTCAATGTCTGTCAATGGATGAATGGATAAAGACACAAATGCATGATGGAATATTATCCAGCCTCAAAAAAAGAAAGAAATCCTGTCATTTGGGACAGCATGCATGAATCTGGAGATCATTTTGTTGAATGAAGTAGGCCAAAGACAGATAAAGCAAGTATCACGTATATATGGACTCTAAAAAAGTCAGACTCATAGAGACACAGTAGAAAAAGGGTTGGCAGGTGTTTGGGGATTAGGAGAAAGATAAGTTGGTAAAGTGGGACACATTTTCAGTTACAAGATGAATGAGGCCTGAAGATCTAATGTATGACCTGGTGGCTATCGTTGATAACACTGTATTGTGTAATTAAAATTTGCAAGAGAGTAGAACCTAACTCTTCTTACCAAACCACAAAAAAAGTATGTGAGATGATTGATGAGTTAATTAACTTGATGGGGGGAATCCGTTCCTAATGTATGCAAATATTGAATTAACACAAAGTGCACTTTAATTGACAAAATTATAAGACATTTATACATCAAAGCTGTGGCTGAGGGATAAATAGAAAGTGGGAGATAGAAATGAAGATTTGGGGATGTGATCACTGGTTATGATAATGAAAGTATGATCTTCAACTATATGAACCATACAGTTTGACTTTTGAAGTCACAAATAAGTATAAATGTGGTCAGAATGTAACATCTAATGATTTTTGCTATTGGGAAAGATACCTCTTGAATCAATCCAGTAAGAACTAATTAGCTGGTATTCACGGTGTTGTATAGCATTTCAAAAGAAGAACTACGTGTTTGAGAACTGTGTTTCTTTTACGTTCTTCAAAATATCATTTAGCATACATGCCATACATCGGTGAATGAGAGTACGAGCATAATTCATAGGGTGACCAAATTCCTTCCTGGCCAGTCTTCTAGCTCTGCATGCTGAGAGCTTCCCAATTATATCAAAATTATTTTTACCACGTTTGCCACCATGACATAATACTGTGAAGCTTATAACTTTCTGTCTGATTGAAATATTGTGTAATCTCCCATTGTTGATTTGCTGAGCCAAAATAAATGCTTCATTAAAATTCAAGGGCAGATCTGATGTATAATAATAATAATAATAGGACCTACACTGTAGGCTAATTGAGGATTAAGTGAGACACAGTAGGTAAGTAGATAAGCACAAAGTCTGGCAGTATGCCTCTGAACATAAACTAGGCATTATTATATGATGGCTACGCAGTAAATACTTATTAAATGAGTTCTTTCCTATAAAATACTACACCCCAACACTAATTACAACATAAGAACTAGAATTTTTTTTGTATCTTAGAAATAGAGTAGTTAGCTATATTTAATATATTTGTGTGTGTATATATATATATATATACGTGTGTGTATATATTTATATACATCCACCAAAAAGTTTTCTGTTCATCAGAACATCTGAAGGCTTCTCATTTTATAATTGGTATTGTACTTCTTTCATAGATTGTTGTCTGAAAATCAATTTGCTTTTCCCAACTTACATAAAGTTAATCTACCCTGAGGAGTGGGAAAAATCTTTAAAGATTTTTCTTTTATATGCATATCTTAAGTATTTATCACTCAAGAACTTACATTTTTACCTGTGGATATTTCTCCCCATTGCAAAATTAACTTTTCTCTAGAAATACCTAATTTCTCAGTGGGCCAAAATATATAGTCAATAATTTGAGACCAAATGTGCCACAGCCTGTTGTACAATGATTTTCAGTATAAATGTCTGTGTACAAGGTAACGTTTCTTTGGAATTCAATGAGATGAAAATAACATTTTCCAAAGGGTTGTAAAACAAGACTAATTTTTCTGATAGCCATGCCTTAGGTTGATTTGAGGTATGAAAGGTCAAATTACTTTTTTACACTACAGTCATCTATAATGGAGAAAGAAAATGAATATGTAGTTACTTTGATTACAGGGCCTAGAAATACAGACAAGTGCATTATTTTTCTCCCACAAAGAAATTTGCCAATTCCCTTAAATATTATCCCCCTTTTGTTTGATAAGTAGTACAGGAGGCATAGATTTGAAACTTAGAAATTGAACTGAGACCTCAAAGCTCAATTCACTTAAGAGTTTTATGTCCTTGAGCAATGTTGCTGCCAGAGTAAACACCATAATTACAAATGGCATCTCGTGGAAAACAGATCATTTGATTTGGATTTATGGAAAAGGAGCCAAGTGACTGTATGACATAGTGTACCACGTAATTAAGTCATCCACCAACAGCAAGACATTGTGTTTCCACAGCATGAAAATGACGTATGTCCACCAGCTGGAAAGGAACGGAAACGTTCTATAACCAAAAATCCCAAAATCGGAGGTTTGCCTCTAATTCCCATCCAACATGAAAAAAATGCAACCCAAGCCCGGAGAAATATCGAGGTAGGTTAGGTTTTTTTTTTTACATTAATGACAACATTTGTTTTCTTATGTCTTAAGTGCATTAATTACTTCATTGGCTCCAAAAGCACAGTAATAATCTCTTTGAAAGCAGAGTCAGAATTGCATCCATCAGGAAAATATTATGAATCACCCTATGCCACTCTTTGACATTTTATATTTTAACTTTTCTTAAATAGTTTTAATAGTGTCATTGACCATTCTATTAAATATTCATAATACCACTTATTTCCTTATCCCTAAAGTAGCCAAGTAATTTTAAATATGTGTACAGAAGTTCTTTTGGTAAAATCACAGTTTCGAAGTAGTATTACAAGTTCCCGTCTAATACCCTTAGAATGAGCCCATGGCAAAACATGTCTAGAGTCATGGTAACTAGACTTTCTAGGAACACAATCAAATTCCAGTGTTTTGGGAACTGATGGGGTGTCTCAGTCAATTTATGGGACTGCAAGATGACCCTTGAGGATCAGTAAAAAAGTATTGGCATTTTTCAGGGAAGTTTCCATTTGTTCTCCTTCTCACCTTGAGGGGTGGGAGAACAGATGTAGCATTAGTCTTGACTTGAAGTTCACTCTCTTCAGGAAAGAACAAAAGCTGTTTGCAACTCAAAACTCATTAGACACTTTGAGACTAATACATGTTTCAGTGCTTTCATTGAGTCCCTCAAAACAAAAAGAAAAGCAGGTAAAAAGTGTTATTTCTTCCACGTTTGGAATTAGGCTCTTTGAATCTCTTGCTTTCCAAATAGAAATAACTTTTGAAAGACTAAGCATTTTAACTTAGCAGTCAGATTTTTAAAAAAATCTTCCTATGCAATTTTAGAATAAAAGAAATGTATAACCTTATCAGAAAATTTCAAAATCATTTATAAATTATGTTTATAAAAATTTTTATTCAGTTTCAACTTCTCTGCTATCACTTCATGTCTGAATCTGCTGGAATTTAAGAAAATAGAACAAGGTGTTATACATGTGGAAAAGTTTAAGCCTACATTTATTCACTAGTCTAAAGAATATTGATCATTTCTTATATTCAGGCACTGTACCATGTTCAGTGAACAAATCAAACAGAAGCATAAACAAAAACCCTGCTTACATCTGAGTTGACTTTCTAGTAGGGCATCGTACAGTGGCAGAGAATAACTTACTGTAGAAAAAGGCGAGGCATTGCCTTTATTAAATTGGACATCTTTCATTTCCGTACTGTTTATACTGTCTGATTTCACACTTAGTATTTTCATTTCATTTCTCTCTTCCAAATATTTGTAATTTAACAAAAAATCTAGGGTTTGCAATTTATGTTGGGAAATTTTGACAAATTTCTTCAGTTCTTGCTTGTGAAAAAAAATGATTTTTTTCTTCACACCCCCACTTATATCCTGACCCACTTTATTGGGTATCCTTTCTGTGTGGCTCCATAAGCTTGATTCTCTGGTGGTCATTCTTATCCATTACACTTGATTAAGTTGTATTACCTTTTGAGAATCTGATGAAGGTTCTGTATGCTGGGAATTGCCCAGTTGCAAGATTTCCTGAACCCTAGTTGAAAAAGTGCACCTCTGTATATCAAAGGTGTTCTGTCACTGTTATTTCTAGTACCTGGAGGCCCTTTTAGTTCACTGAATGAGTGCTCTATTCCACTGGTACAAAAATGGGTTTCCATACAGGACTAGTATGTACATTTCATTATTGTCAGAAATATATCTGTGGGAGGAAAGATATTATTAGTCAGGTATTTTGGGAGGAGAAAGAAAAAAACAGAAAAAGAAGTTAAACAGATTTCTCTGCCATAATACTTATCAGTATGTGGTAATAGGGTAACATGTATTGTGACTCAAAGAAGGGGCTGTAGTGCAGAGCATTTCCCCGACTCACGTGGCCACACAGCCCCCCTTGTCCTGCCAGTACAGCACTGGAGGACCTACAGCTGCCCGGACATGTGACACACCTAAGCAGATGTGAACTGGAAAAGGCAGGTTTGAAATGAGAATCAATTTGAATCACTAACCTGAAAGACAGCTTTGAAGTGGTATGTTAAATGAATTTCCATGGTCTTTCAGTTGATTTTGTAGCTCTAAGATTAGAATATAAATTCAGACAGGCTACTTGTGCCAAAGTAAAGCTTGAACCAAAATCATAGCAATAAGCTCTAATATAAAAAGGCTTAACTTTTATGTGGCAAGTGCTTTTTTTTAATTTTGTTTTCCTGTGAAACATTTTATATTATTTTTAGAGTGTAAGAGCAGAACTCGAAAGGCTGCGGCTCAGTGAAAAATATGACCAAGAGTCTGGGGATGGCGGCCTGAGAGAGAGAGCCTCTGTGGCGGCACAGCGCATGGGGCGCAAAGATGAGAAACCTCGCAGTCGAACCAGGAAACATCGGAGTTTCAACTGCCTGGAAGACACAGAGACTGAGGTCTTTGAGGGGCAACAGGAAGGCCATAGAGACCTAAAGACATTGAGGAAGGCGGAGGACAGGAATGGCAAAGCTACTTTGGACTCTGATAAGAAGTTACCACCAAAGGTCATTGAAGAACTTAGCGTGGTCCTACAGCGGTCAAGAACCCTTCCAAAAGAGCTACAGGGGGAGCAGATTATGCAGAAAGAAATAAAATGAATAGTCCTGCAAATTTTTTCAATATTGTATATGATGTCTGTGTGCAAACCAGAAACCAGAACTGTAGGATAATTCATGGTTTATAAGGTTTGTCTGGCTCTACATGAGCATTTAAAGAACATTTTTAAATATGTATGTATATAAGTGTAAAATTAACTTTATTTTGGTCTGAAGCAAACTTGTACAGTTCAACTGTATTAACCTTATGTAAGAATGCATCAGATTCCTTCTAGTGGCCAACCTGTTAAAGTAGTTGTCTGTTAAGTGGTGTAATTTATGAATAGAAATCTCAAGCTGTACTGTATTGTATAAAATACTGTTTAAATGAAGTCTATGAAACTATAACACGTTTTGCACTTTGAGAAACCTTGCATATTTAATTATCTTTTTTTTTAGGTTTACATAGGGTCCATGTTAGGGCAAGGAAAGGGAGAGGCTTTATTTTTGTGGCTGCCATCAAACAATATTGGGGTTTTTTAAAGAGGCAAGAGGTTAACAAGTGTTCTAAGAACTAAGGAGGTCCGTTAAGATTCATTCAAGTCCACTATTGACCAGAATTCCTTAATGAAAAACTGCTTGTACGAGAATAAGTCTAGTGACTAAGTATTTCCCAGAAGTAATGTTCAACCAACAAACAAGTAAGTGGCACCAGCCACTTATGTATGATGTTAGGGAACTAGCCACAGTATATATTCACTACACTTCAGTTGTTTGTAGGTGGCTGTGGAAAAGAAACTTACACTGCATTGGAGATTGTGTGCACAGGACCTGGGAGAGGATGCCATTTGCACTGTTGCTGTATACAACCAATTTTTTTTAAGAGCTCCTTACAATGGTTTTAGTACAAACAAAACATTACAGGGTTTCGTGGGTTTTTTTTGTTTTTGTTATTACCTTACTTTGTATGTTCATTTCTTGGTATTTTAAGTAAGGCTGTAATGTCTTTCTCTGCAATGTCAGAACTAACTGAAAGTGTATGCCATTTTGGGGTGGGGGATAGTTTAACTCAACTGCATTCAGGGGACTACCAGTTCACATTTAATCTAGCCTCTTTTTTTTTTATATCAGTAGTCTCCTCCCTGAGTCTAATGAATAATGAATTTCAGCTTCCACATGAGGAACTGTTACTGAGTTGGTGGTTTTCCTCAGAAAGACAATACTATCTAATTATAGTTCACACTAGGGGAAGTGCTTTTCATCAATTTCTTTAAAATTATCTTAGCTACCTAAGCTTTATTTCTACCATTTTTCCCCCTGCTCCTGTTTTTCAGATGGCTTTTTAAATCAGAATTTGTCTACAAAAGCCCATACTTTGGTCAGTCTGATGATGATAGTACAGCAATATGCTGTTGATGCTATGAATTTATTCTGATCACCTATATTTGGTGGTGATAAAATAGTTTACCATGGATATGTAATATTTATTCTTTAAATCCAAATAGATTAGGATTTTTTTTAAAGAAAGAAAAACTGCAGGTCAGTTTATGAAATAGCTGGCACTACTAGGGAGCCTTCCAAAGCACAAAACCATGGTATTTAGTTAAAAAAATTAAACTGTTATTACTAATAAATTATATTTGTGTTTAATGAAATAAGGCATATGAAAGTTAATGTTTGACAGTGGGAAGCATCTGGAATTTACCTGCCTTATCTGAATATTTTTGAAACCTAATCTAAGCTTCTGTTTCCCTTCCTTTCCAATTGTCTCCATTTTCAACTGTAAGATAAGGGCTAATGATGACATCTCATATTTTGAGTAAAAATAAAAATTGTTTTATAAGTCCAACTGAATGGGATCATCATTATTTTCAGAAGTTGAAGGTTATTTTGAAATAGATTCTTTCCTTTTCTCCCTTTTTAAAAATTTGAATTTAATATATGCCAAACACGCTGTCATTTTTTCAAACATGTCAGTGTGAATGTTGTTCTATTTCAAATGATGAATACATGCAAACATGACACAGATTATTGATGGTGCTCTTAAGACCTAATGTTAATTTCTAGACACATAGCTTTTAAGTATTTGGCTTCTAAATATATCATTACCTGATGATTTATCAAAGTGGCACTGAGAATTTAAAACTAAGCAAAAGCACTTGGAAAAAATATGACTTGTGTACATCACTGTATTAGCTGCCAGTTTGCATTGTTCATATGACAATTTTTAATTCTAAAATTTGCATAAGCTATCTGCAAAAGGAAATATTTTTGAAAATGCATCAAATTTGAACAGATTGTAATATCCAAATATTTGCATGTTTTTTTCTAACTTTTGTTAATCACTCTGGGGAAAAGATGACTAAGATTTTCACCATCTCATCACAATTGCACCAATACTTTGATATTACCATTTGCTCAAAAGACAGAACAGAATTAGGATTATCTTCAGAACACTTTTCTGCCATGTCTACAAATCATCATGTTTATCTCCAATCATCTGGAAATGCAGAACTCAGAAATGAATCCTACAGGTAACTAAAATTCATCTGTTTTATGTTCCAGAGTTATTTTATTAGTTTTTTGGAATTTTTTGTTGAAGCTATTCTAAATTATATTGTAGATCCCTATCACCTCTGCCATAGCTACTATATGTTGAGCATAGTTTTTAGTAATTCAGATTCCTTCACAGATTTAAGATCTTTTTGAATTATTGGATTAAATTTCAGATCTAAATGTCCTCATCTGAGAAGTGGGAATAGCACCTATCTTGTTGGCTTTTTGTGATGATACACATACACACACCAGGGATGTGTGCACCTAGAGGAGAGATAATGTGAGGACCCAGCAAGAGCTAAGGAGGCCTTAGATAAAACCAAACCAGTCAACATCTTGATCTGGGACTTCTAGCCTCCAGCACTGTGAGAAAAAAAATTCCTATTGTTAAAGCCATACAGTGGAATTTTGTTAATGGCAGCCCTAAAGTACTTTTATATTAATCTGTTAATATAGATACCATATGGGCAGAGTACACCCTGGTATTTTCAAGTATTAGTGTTTGTCCTCTTGTTACCCACACCTCAGAATACCTTTGTGACATTACATCAAGGTCACAGCCATCATAATGAGTAACAGAGGAGGAGAGAGAATGTTGGAATGTAAAAACTTAGAAGTCAGGTACCTAAATAACTTGAATACTAAAATAATACAGTATAAATAATTCTAAATGGTGGCCCAGCACAATTAAAGTCTAGGGCTGCTTGTAAAAATTCAAGGTCTCTGACATCAAAAATCACTGTCCCAGCAGATAGATGATGCTGGTCCTTAAGATCTGATAGGAAATGTGAAAATGCTGTTAGCCCTTTCAAACAACAACCTGATCAGTTAAATAGCAGTGTTCACTAGACAAGGGAGAGACAAAAAGTGATTTTGATCAATCCAAATGAGCTAAACCTTAATCCTACAGATTGGATCAAGACTACCTAACCTTCATCAGATAAAAGTGACACTTCTATCTCCCTAGAGTGACTCCTATTCTCATCTTCCTTTCTAGCTAATGCCTCACTTATCTCTTGTTTGCAGCACGGTAAAATTTGTTTCACTTGTTGCTTTCTCTCTGCCGCCCTCCCTCCCCTCCCTAACCCTGCTTTCAGCCTTTTGTTTCCTACTGTTCTATCATGACAAGACCAGAGCAACCTCATTACCAATTCAAATGGTCAGTTTCCAGTCATCATAACTGACCTCAGCTCCTCTACTGAATACTCACCTCTGTGTAGTCTGACTCATAGAGGAACTCACCTAATCTCATAGCTGTAAGTATAGTACATCTTCTATCTCATCTATTTAATTTCAGTATGGACCTACTCTACTGAGTTCCAGACCGCAGTTTACATTTCCACTTGAGTATTCAACTGTCACCTCAAATACACCCCATTTAACACTCATCCTTCCATTCCATGCTATCCTGCCATGTCTAGAACTCAGGTACAGCAAGATTAAGCAGGATTATTCAGCCAATGATCGGCAGCATTGCCACGTGCCCCAGGCAGTCTAGCGCACGAGTCCACACTTTTAAACTCTGCATTTAGATTGCTGGGGTGACCATCATATCTTATCTGAAAATTTAAAAAAGACTCTTAACTTGTCTCACTTGTGCTATATGGAACAAGGCAAAAGCCAAAATCATCTTTTTAAGATTATGTCTCTTTTCCTAACAACCCCCAAATAGCTTTCTATTTCCATTAGTTAAAATGGAATGTGTCTATAGATATAAACCCTGGAATGACTGTTCCATTGTACCATTTCTGTCATCTCTTACCACTCTTTACCTCATTCACTTTGCTAAGGTAAACTTCCTCATAATCGCCAGGCATGAATGCCTTGACTTTTACTGTCCCTGTTAGTGACACACTCTCCAGACATACACGTGGCTCACTGAGCTTCATGCACATCACCACCACATGTCACTGGACCTTCTCTGAACAGCCCATATAAAATGCATCATCACCTTCTATTCCCTTAGGTACTTTCTTTTATTACATCATAGGACTTAGGATTGTCTGACAGTTTACATGTTAATATATATGTATTAATGGTCTAGTCTAATTACTTCCTTGAAAATGAAAGTTTGCCAGTGCAGAATCTTAGGTTCAACACTATATTCCCAGCATTCCAGTGCCTATATCGTAGCTGTTATCACTACTGAAAATATATTGGATAAATGACATTTTATCTGATAAATATATATCGGATAAATGATGTAATGATGTAATGAAGTAGGTTGAAGAAGAACAATAATCTCAACAAGAGCTAGGAACAGTAGACTTTAAAAAAGTTTTTTTAAAGCTAATGCTGAAATAAATAGAAATAAAAAAGGAAAGATTCAGAGGAATTCGGAACGTAAGAGATGTGAGCTGATAACTGTACAGCTGCTATTTTCCTGGGAGCATTCAGAGAGCATACACAGGGCACAAAGTTGAACATGGTCTTTGATCAAGTTGGGAGATGCTTTTTGCAGGCAGACAAATCAGCAGAGCTTTTTTACCCTTGAATGGCTACGAAGGCAAAATTTGAAATACAAGGAACTAAAATTCCATGGGAGAAGGGAGAAATGAAAAACTGGCTATCGCTGGTTATCTTTTAAGACTTGCTGAATATTGATGCTACATAGGGCAGTAGGCTAATAAGCTCAGAAGAAGGCCTCTAACAGAAGAACTGAGTTCTTTGAAGTCTCATGGGATTAAGACAAAGACTCAAGGTCATTTACTATCATTGAGAGAGACCCTTGTGAACATACAGTCTTTTAGTTAGAAGCCTTGGAGACCCATATGGCTAGAGCTGGTATGAATTGGCATCTTAACAGAATATAGTCAAAACTGCCCACAACCTCAGTTCAGATCAGTTCCTGATTGGGTCAAGTTCATCAGCCTCCTCTCTGCTAAAACTTAAATGAATATTTTCTGGAGAAAGATAATATTATCTAGAGCTTCAACCATTTTTTTCACTGGCATTAAAAAAATACATCACAAGAGACAGGACCCTGTGACCCAAATATCAAGATCAAAAATAGAAAATAGAGATCCACAAGTGATCAAGGCATACCAAATAAGGACTCAATGCCAACTATGATTAATATTATCAAGAAAATAGAGGAAAAAGAGAAAATATAGGAAAAGATGGATGACTCTGCCAAGTATTGGAATATAAAAAAAAAATCAAAATTCTAGAGGTGAAAAATACAATAACTAAAGCTAAAAATACATGAGTTTGACAGAATAATAGACATGCACCAAAGAATAGTAATCAATTGGAGGACAGGTTAATAAAAAATTAAAATTTGTCCAAAATAACACATAGAAAAACAAATGGAAGATACAGAAAAAAGAGGCATATGAGATACTGTAAAAAGATCTAATATTTGATATCCAGAAGAAAAGGAGACAGAAAATGGGGAGAAGTCAATATTGGAAGAGATAATGACACAGAATTTTTCAAAACTGATATAAGGTGTCAATAAACAAATTCAATAAGGTACACAAACTCTAAGCAAAATACAAAGAGAATTTCACATAATTGTATCATAGTAAAACAATGGAAAAGTCAATAAGGAATTCTTAAAATCAGCCAGAGAATAAAGAAACACTAAATTTATAGTGACAACAATAGAATGAAAGTGGCCTCTCACCATAAAAAAAATTAAAGCCAAAGGAAATAAAGTACAATTACTAAAATGCTGGAGGAAAATACCTGCCCCCTAGAATTCCATATCCCTTAAAAATATTCTTCAAGATGCCAAAATAAAGCACATTTCAGATAAACAGAGTAGCTTTCCCCAACATAGCTGTCCTGAAAGAAATACCAAAAGATTTTTAGGCCAAAAGAAGCTGGTCCCAGAAAAGGTACCAAAATGCAGGAAGATAAGAGCAAAAAAAGGGAAAAAAATTCAATAAATATTGACTGCACAAAATGATAATATACTGTGTTGGCTGATGTATGTAGAATTAGCAACAACTATAACAAGGCTGTGCTAGGGATTACATGAATTTATTGTGAACAAGTGAACACAATAAATTATAGTAAGAATGTATATTTCAGTCTCTATTAGAGTATTTCCTAATAGAATAGTAAAAGAATATATGACTTTCATGTTTATAGAGAAGAAAAATGGAAAAGTAAATCTTTATAAATGATCTGAAAGAAGAAAAGAGAGAAAAAGGAACATAAAACAGGTCCAGCCTAAAACAAAATAGTAAGGTAGTAGACATAAGGCCAAATATATCAGTAATTACACCTCAAATGCAAAATAACTGAACACTTCAATTAAAACCAAACAACAAAAACTTGCTTCTA